TTTTTTTTTTTTTTTTTTTTTGTGTAGCTTTCAAAACAGATAAGGCGCTATGGGAAGTAGAACATCAGAGGATACTGAAGGAATTGAAAAAGAAATAGAAATGGAATTAAACAGAATCAGTCTTTCTTCCTTTGAAGCAGATGATCCTGACACAGAGATATCAGATGAACCGTTGAGTGACAGTGAGACAGTAAGTATTCAATGAGCTAAAACTGCTTCTATTTCTGCTTGAAAGTGGTATGGGCATTGGAAAGCCCATTTGATGAGTGAACATTTTCCTGACATATCTAACCTAAGGATTTCTTCTGAAAAGTAGTCTTGATAGTATTGCTTCATGAAAAATGTAACCTCCAATGGTGACAACACGATAAGAGAGATGAATATCAGCATTCTCTTTGAGAAGATCAGACCTGGAGATTATTTTTAGAATCCTCTGAAGCTGGGAGATTTGATGAAGTAGATTAAATCTGGATGAATAAAAGGATAATTCTTCACTGAAATCTGTATTTAAATCTTAAAATCTCTTAAAGAGACTGGTTTATGAGATTTCTTATATGATTTCCAGATACTAATTTCATATAAATAGGTGCTTCAAGTCCTCTTTCTTTGATGACTTCTTATTTTGGGGAGCTATTTTCATCTGAAATAAAATCAGTTATTTGGGTCCTTTTCTGCCATTTTAATCTTTCAGACTCATAGCAAAGAGGATTGTTTGTGGGATATTAGGGTAGATAATATTGATCATATGTGACCTTAAATCATATTTGATATGACATAGACAAAGGCATCAGTGGCAAGTATGTGTGTGCTCACATACTGAGTGTCAGCAATGTCTACCACAATTTGCACATCTGACAGAAGGCAGACCAGTTTCCCAAAATATTGATGTTAAAGACCATCTGTTGAATTGAAATTGTCTATACAATAAAGAAAATTGAAGCAATGGTTTTACATGCTACTTTAAACATTAGTAAATTTAAAATAAATATTTTTGAGGAGTCTAAACATTTTAAAGAAAAACGTCTTGTGCATCACAGGTATTTGCTAATTTTTGTCTTATCCTTTTATTTCTTGGTATAACACAGTTACAAATACAATAGTTTATTGAAATGTGTTTCTGGAGATAGTGCAAGATATATTACTAAAATTTGATTTTAATTTAATTAAGATTATAATTATTAATTGTTTAGTGGGAGAGAACAGTGTAGGAATTTGGAAAAAATTTTGGTGGAAATTGCTACTAAATCTCCATCAATGCTTTACAGGTGAAGCCAAAACAAGTCTTTATTGTTTTATGTCAAGTATTTACCTCTTTTCAAACCTGTGAGATCAAGATGTAGAATATATGTCAGAGGTTGTGTTTTTCTAGATTTCAGGTGACTTGCCAGAATCAGTTCTCTCCTATTTAAACTTTATCAAAAGCAGCAATCAAGATGCTGAAAAGCTTATATTGGAAGACTTAGAAGATGAGCAAAGTACAAGTAAGCAGCAATCACATTTAAAATGTTGCACAGCTCATATTGTTTGTGGAAGTTAGACTAACTAGCACTGGTAAAATAATGCAAATTTTTAAGTAGAGCAAGCAGTGAAACCTATTTAATCAGCTTCTCAACGCATGTTGGAAATTTCTAGGAATAAAACCATGCAATGCTATCTTCTACTATTAACATCTGAGCAGAAATTAAACTTTTCTAAAAACTCTCTATTGCTAAAGAAGGCAAGTTGTGAGATCACTCTCTGAGACAGGGCTCAGGCCAGTCTCTTTATGAAAATCTAAAATGAAGTCAGCAAGTGCTACAATGCAGAGCTCAGATACAATCGACTCTCACTAGATGTGTTTAAAGTCTTTCTTGAGAGATGTCCCTGCTAGCATTGGATAAAATGACCTTTATTTGGCAAAAGAAAATATTGCTGTCAGCTGTGTGACTGGATCCAAGCTCTTACTTTCTATACCAGAGAGCTGGCACTGTCTGTTCCATTAGTGCAATAGTCTTGCTGAATAGAAGTTCAATGTTGACTACAAATTTTGATATCTGAGGAACATTCCTTTTCATCCTTTTTTATTTTGTAATACAAACTTACTCTTTTTCATTGTTTTTTTACTTGTCAATTTTGACCTATCTGCTACAAGTTCTGCTGTATTTTTCTGCACAGAAAATGTTCTGCTGTTTTCTATATGTTTCTGTTACACATATTTTCTGCTTTTAATGCAGATAAATCATTCCCATACATATTTAAATAAAACTGGAGGAGAAGGAAAAGAAAAAAAAATAGTTTAAACAAATTGAGTAGCTAGGCAGTGTAGACCAAAACTGAGCACTAGTAAGGGATTTTCTCTCCAAGAACTAAATTATGTATTTATTTTTACTTTAGGTGTCATTTGTGAAGTACTTGCTTGCCATGCTTCTGAATCAAATGAAGACACAGAACAATTTAAAGAAAAGGTGTTTTTTATTTATGCAACATTTATAGTGGACAAAACTCTATTAAATAATCTAGATAACTTACACTTGTTTTCATGGACTCCTAAGGAGACCTATAAATGTTTTCAATTTTCTTTCTATAGACTATCCATAAGGTATTAAGATGAGTTCTTATATACAATTCTTTAGAATTAGGACATAAACTGTAATATACTATGTCTGCAAGCTTTCAAATTTGAAATAAATTCTCTGTATCAGTACCTCAGATATTGAGCACAAAAATCAACAAAATTAAACAAAACTGAATGTTCCTTTATGCTAATTATTTGCAGAAAATTATCTTAATATTGTCATAACACTTTTAAACTTCTCTAACCTTATTTTTTTATGATGATCAGGAAGATGAGCTGCTATTAATCTTATTCCTAATAAATTCAATTATTTTATAGAAAATATAAACATAGTAATCTCTATATCTTTTACAGATAAATCAAGAGTTATGAACATGACTACTTCTATATCTTCTTAGGATTTGACTGAATAACTCACTGAAGCGCTTAAAAAAACATATAACTCTATTTAATTTATTCACTTTTAATTTGCTGCCTGGCTTTTATTAGTGAGCACTCTTGCAAGAATGATTTTTTGTTCTCAGAAGACCATTGTTTAGAACAGCACAATACTTCATGTGACTTCAGCTGCATTACAAATATTAATATATGCCTGAAGCATGTGATGAACAAATGATAAATGGGCAGGAATAGATTACTTGCCAGTAAAGAACAATGAAATAAATATAGCAATCCTTGTGCCCATAGTATTATTTTGAAATAGAATTCTTAAAAATTTACTCTGTAACTAGTTCTTCCCCGGTGTGCATGAGTATTAATACATCTAGTGCTTGGTTTCACAGGGCATAAAATAAATCCCAAATGAAAAACATTCATTTTTCCAATTCAAAATATTAAATATATTTTAAAAACACACAGCAATATTATGTATTTTAATAAATACTACAATATTTGCTACTCTATAAAACAATCATTTGACTGATACATTTGCATTATTCGCTATTAAAGGATTTTAGTGAGTAGTAAGTGTCATGTTGCTGTACTTGTTATATGATAAAAAGTTTATCCTTGTTCTAAAAAAAAATTATAATGTTCTGCTTTTAAATTTTTTCTTGTTTTTTAATAACAATTTTAAACTATGTTAGATACTACTTGAAGCTGAAAATGAAGACTTGCAGGTTGTTACAACACCTGGTTATAGTCATTCCATCAGTGATGAAGTGGTCACTGACAGCCACCTTCTCACAGGTAAACTAGCACATTATTCATTTGGTTCCGTTGATCTTTAGCATATCTTTAATTATTTCCTGCTTTTCTGTTGTCATAAGTATCGTTGCATTCTTTTTGAATAATTTCACATTACAATATACAACAAGGCTTGATACTTAATGAATTGAACATGAACAACCACCTGTGCTTTTATCTCATTTCAAGATCACAAAATCATCATAGCTATTAGTATCAAAAAACAGCACCCAAAAATGATTTCAGTAATATGAATACAAATGAAAGCCAGTTTGGAGACAGTAAGTAGATTGTGTTTTGGGCACAGCTTCTTTGCTTTCCTTGTTTTTTTTCATGTTGTCACATTGGTTGGGAATGTTTCCTTTGCCATGGCCTTTGGATGAGTTTGGCTGGAACATATCAGTACTAAAAGCTCCACCAATAGCCGTGGAAGGCATCCTCCATAATCCTRCAATATACATTGTTAGAATAAGCATAGAAGTTGCAGAGTCAGTGAGTGTGCAGAATAATAGTAAGACGTCTCTGATGGAAAGGATTTGTGCTGTAGTTCTGATTTTCTTGGGTATATATGTTGCTAGCTGTATCAGCTTAGGATCCCTTTCTTGTCGAATACCTTAAGACTGTTTAATGTTACCCAGTGCTTATTAGGAAATTAAGTAAAAAGTTTCCTTGGTTGATTAATAGCTGGTGTTGAAATGAGCATAAGCTGTGCCCATCATGAAGTAGAAGAAAAGTGTAGACCAGCAGTTGAGCTTGAAGATGAGAAGACAAAGTGGAAAGCTGAGAGAGAATCACAGGAAAAACAGAATGAAGAGGAACATGCAAGAAGGGTGCAGCATCTGGATCAATTTGAGGATGATCTTTTTCATAAGGTAATGAATTATATTGAAGCAAATATGTTCCCATCTGTATCTGAAGTCAAGCTCTAATATGAAGAAGAGAGCACTGTCCTAAACCCTGCCTACTTGTGTTACCAGTGAGTTGTAAAACATTCTTAAGTATAATCCACTGGTTTTTATTTGTTTACTGCTTTAATCAGTAGTGAATTAATTTGCTATGCTCAATGTTAAATTATTCTTTAAGCCTTTACAAAGTTCTTGTATTATAAAAACAGTCCAAAAAAGGGAGAGTTGTACTGAATTAATCACAAATGGTGAAAAGCTGGTCACTTGGCCCCAGTAGAAAATACTTAGCTAGTTTGGACCTCCCACCCCAACTTCACATTTCCATGTTAAAATCTTAATGGAAATTATCAGAACCAATATCATTCAATTCAGCAATGCTGGTGCTATTCTTCATCTAGGTATAAGTTACAATGCTTGCTTTCCTTATCTTTATCTGGGAAACTTATTCAGGATCATCCACTGAGTTTTACCACAACAGAACATGAGTCAACACCTTGACTGTCTGCACTTTCAGACTGTCAGACGACTATCTAGTCATATTTTGCTATAGTGTGGGTTGAATAATGAAGGATGGAAGACCATAAGAAAATGAAGAAATGTTACTCTCAGATACTATACTTGTGAGGGCACAGAATTTTATTATGTAGCCTAAATAAGTGTGTTTTGAGGTGTGCATTAGCATTACATTTTCAATTTACTAATTTGTGGCTTTCTGAAGAGGTGGGCAATTACCAGCAAGGTAATTCAAGTCACCAAAAGTAAGGAAGTGCTTAATAAATTAAAAGACCTTTTCTCTCTGAAGGCCAGTTCAGTGAATGCTTATAGCTCTCTTTTCAAAAGGTCACAAAATTGATAGGCCTTCTTGGTTCTTTGCTGTCAAAAATAATTTTTGAATGTAGGATGGCTTTCTCTAGAAAGAGAGAGGCATGGCCATATTTAGACACTGATACTGCGGTTGCTGTTTTTTTGGAGGTGAGAGATAGAATCTGACTTCCCCTGTTGCAGAAGGATCTAGATGCCTTGTCTCCTGTTGTCTGAACAGCATGCAGCTGAATGCCCATGAAAACAAGTGCTGAAACACCTGGGAGATTTTATGCTCCAAGTTGAAAGTGCTAGTTTGTTTATACTGCTTCCTTTGTATCCTCAATATTTGATTTGGCTGATATATCTGATATATGAGGTTCTGGATCAGCCTATTTTTTGGTTACTTACTGTCTGCTAAATTTCAGTCTGATTGAGACATTTTTTTCTGGTTGAGGTCGTGTTGGGCAAGGAGGGAAATGCTATTTATTTGCAAATAGTGAGAAAGTAGACTTGAACTTTCATTTTCCATTCAGAAACTATTTCAGTCAGAAAAATTTCTTTAGCTTTACTGTACAAAATTCCTACTTGAAAGATTTTAATATTACCAGTACATACCAGTGCAATGAAAGGAAGATTGTTCATGCTGCTGTTCAGATACATTTTGGTTACCTGCCTGTACTTTAAATGGTTTTGTAACTAGTTTTTATCTTCAATACTAGTACAGATCTTGGAGAGGAAGGTGGTAGTTTTTTGGGTCAGTGCCAAGATGCTGACTTTCTGAAAGTATGCATCCCTCAGTACATGACCAAATCTACATTACTCATGCAAGTGCCCTGTTTATTTTGATCCACACACAGCTGAGTTTTTAATTTAAATTCAGGCATTCACAAATTTGGAGAGTCAGGAATATAGGTGAGATAGGAGAGTTTGTGTTTTGTGTTGTTCCAGGGTTTGCACAATATTCGTTTAAGTGAATTTGTTGTGCAGAAACACCAGGAAGCAGTAGAAGACCAGTTTCAGCAAGATGAGAAAGCTTGGAGAGACAAAATGAGGCAACATGAGGTAAGGTCATACAATGAGCTTTTGTCAGAAGTCTGTCAAGTTACTGTTTGATATTTGATAATAAATGTTATCCTGGAATGGTTAATATACAAGATTCTGTTTATTAATGGTAAATATGTGCCAATACCTGTCCCATTTTAAAAGTGGTTAAAGTCTATCCTAATTGTTTTGGCCTAGGAGCAAAAGGCTTTGGAAGAACAGAAAGCAGAAGAAAGGCAACAACTGGCTGAACAACAGAATATAGCAGCTGTCAAAATCCAAGCTACATTTAGATCATTTTTAGTCCGTAAAAAATATGCTTCCATCTTAAAACAATGGAAATATAAAATGAGAAAGAAGCAGAAAATACTAGAGGAAATAGCGAGAGAAATGAACAAAAGAGAGGAAAAACTGAAGATGCAAATAGAAGAAAATAGGTTACAGAGAGAAAAGGAAAGAAAGAGACAAGAAGAACTTGAAAGACAAGAATATTTGAAACAAGTGAGGAGGCTGGAGGAATATGAGAAAAAGAAAGAAAGCTTGAGACTGGAAACAGAAAAGCAACTGCAAATAAGAAGAGAAGAACAAAGAAAATTAGAACAAAAAAGAGCAAAAGCTGTGATGAGTGAAAATATAGAAAACAACACAGAAAACATAAAAGAAGATAATAAGAGAGAAAATAGGAAAGTAATAAGAGAAGAGAAGGAAGAACTAACTAAACAAATAGAAGAACAAAAAGAAAAACATGTTGAAATGATGGATGAAACAAATAATTGGATGATTCAAGCAGAAAGAAATTTGACACCAAGTGTGCTAGGCTCTGAGAAGGAACACACTTCTGAAGTGAATAATCAGAATTTATACATGAATTCAATAATACAGGGGGAAGAAAATGACTCACAAACTAGTTATCTTGATAAAGCTCCAGAAAGTAATATTTCAAAGGATGAATCTCTTAACTTTTGTGCTAATAATGGGGTAGAAAATAAGGCAAACAGCATATGCAGCAGTCCACCAAATGTCCAGGTAAATAATAGTAATAGAGAAAATAAAGATCAACTTCCTCAGTATGAAGCAATGAAGAAAACTGTATGTCTAATGAAAAATGCTAATGAAGTCACAAACACCTGGGACAGTATTCAAGATGTAGCAGTTTCTTCTAGTAAACTAACTTTTCGTGGTGATATTGAAAAGAAGAGAATAAACTGGATGAAGACGTGTAAATCTTGGTCTAAAATATATGAAGAAAACCAAACAAAGCAAGCAATTGTAAGAAAACGACTAAGAAAAAGTTCAGTTAATGAAATGCCCCCATTAAGTACAGAAAAGATAATTCATAGCGGCCCTTGGAGTACGTTGCAGCAGGTAACTGTGTGAAAGTTTGAGCATTAAATGGCAAGACATGCTGTCACTTATTTCTTTTTTATTTTTTCTGATTTGGTGTGTCAGCAGATTGCTGTTTTGGAAGAGAAGTAGATTATTATTGAGGAGGATATAGATCTCATCAGAGTTCCTATGCCCAGTTGCAGAATAAGGGCAATGACAATGAGTTTTGAAATCCTGTGAGTGTTGTGGAGCAGACTGTTGTGCTATTAGTCTTCAGATGATTGATAGTATTACCCCTTTAAAAGGCAAGAGGTCTTATTTTCTGCTAAATTAATAAGGTTTTGCCTTTGTATAAAGGCACATATTTCAGCTTCTGCTCAACTAGCCCCTTCAGAGTTTTGAGAGGAAGAGTCTCTTCTTAGAAGCAAGACATTACTGACTCATATATAGTGTTTTGCCATAAAGGCCATTTCCTGGTGGTCAGCACTTATTTTTCTTATCACTTGCTAACTTATCACTGCATGCTTGCTCAGCTCTCATCTTTGTATCTATTCCGAGATGACATACTAAACTGTGCACACTTCTAGTCTGAACTATTTTTGTCTGTTCTTGTACACTCATTGTTTATGATACTGTGACTATTGGTCTTATGCTAACTTCTCCCATTCAACAGACCAAATCCATCATTGCCACTCCTTTCTATATGAAAGAATTACCATCAGTTGCTTGCATTTTCTAAAGCATTAATAGATTGTAGTTTTGTTCTCTTTTTTTGTCTTAAATATTACCATAATATGATGTTGTACAATGACTGTTCAATATACAAAGCATTAGTTTTATTTATCAATAAATGCATGTAGGTCACAACACTTAMGCTCGAAGATTTGCCAGCTTGTAGCCTCTCAACCTTATCTGAGTGTTCACATCTTCAAGTTTTGACTCTGAGGCGCTGTGGACTGGTTGCCCTGGAAGGACTAAGTAGCTGCAAAGACCTGAAATATATCAATGTGGAGGTACCAAGCATATTTGATTCTTTGCTATAACATGGGGAGAGCTGCCAGTTTTGCTGCTTTGTTGATTATGTAGTTGTGTCCAACTGAATATAAACTTTTATCCTTAAGAGCATACGAATTGCAACAAAATACTCCCGAATGTGAGCAAAGTTATGCCAGCAGGTTTGCAGTGCAAATAACAAAAACCAATGTGGTATAAATAATTGAAACTGCACTAAGAAAATATCAGTCTAAGTGACACTGTGATAGATCTTCATTACTTCAGTATCTGATTGATGAGTGGGCAGATGCTGTGTTCACCTTAGCAGGTGCTCAGCTTCAGCAAGAATATTTAGAAGGAAGAATCCTTTGCAGCATACACCTTGAATATTAATTAAATGAATAACATATATGCTCAAGGAATAGTACCATAATTTAAACTAGCAGCCTAATATTTAGGTACTCGCAACTGCTCAGTGTCTTACAGGGCCCTGTTTAATGACTAAAGAAAATTTTTTCTCTGCAATGTATCTTTGTTCCAGAGCTTGACAATTTACATGAAACAGCACATTTTTAATTTTATGTGTTTTAACAACCACTTTCAAGAAGGAAAAATCAAGCAAAGCAGACAGTGAAATATAAATCTGAGGAAACATTATTAAAATGGCCTGGGAATGGGGATGCTAAAAAAAAAAAAAAGCAGTATCCCTTGGAGGAAGAATATTATCTTAGAACAGTGTTAATGTTTGTGACCAAAGTATCTCTAATGCAGATTTTTGCTATTAGTAAATAGGATTCCAGCAAAACTCTAGCCGTCTTCATTAGCATCTAGTGAATATGGTGGTTTCTATGGAGTTTTTAGTACAGTCTCCCAAGGTTTGGGGAGATATTAAGACATATATGGGAATGATTACTCTGTTCTTAACTTCTTTTTACCCTTTCTTATTTCAACTTTGGGCATTTTCAGAGCCAGAATGAAGTTCAAGTTGTATTCTTGTTCTATATAAGCAGGACACAAGAAGTTGTTTCTAGGACTCTTTTTTTTTTTTTTTTTAATGGAAATATAGAGATGCCCTTACTCCTATCTTACAGTTAAGGATAAAATAAGCTATGAAGGCAATCTGCCATATGTTTATTTAGTTCTGCTATTTCACTTCAGGTGGTATTTAATAGTCTCATTTTCTTTTATTACAGGAGAACAACATTCAGGTAGTTAACTGTGCATGTCTGGAAAATCTCTGTATTCTCATTCTGAATAAGAACCATCTTTCATCAGTTTATGGTTTAGATGAATGCAAAAATCTCCAAAATCTTGAACTTTCCTACAATAGAATCACTCGAATTGGTAAGAAAATTTTTCAAGTTTCTATAACAATATTTATGCAGTTCTTATTCAGAATTATACACCCCTTGGATTTAGAGCCAGTTGGCTGCTAAGCCCAAGAAGACAGACTTAGAAAAAACCTGCATCTTAAAGCTTGGCTTAGCTACTGCCATGTATTCCATCTAGCAAGGTCATATAAATATTGTCAGCCAAAGAGAATTGAAATCTTTCTGGAAAAGCCACTAATATTATCTGCACTAAGTCAGCTGAAGTATGTGAGTAGCCTGAATTCAGTTTATTTGCAGACATAATGAAAGTAAAGCCTAGCTGTGCAACTGCAACTGCAGCGAATTCCAGCGTGTTCCTGACTGACACAGTAAGTAATTATATAGAAATTGTATTGTCTGTCTTGAGTCTGCTGGAAAATAGGAAAATAATTTAAAACAATTATTAAGCTCATAGAAGAAATACATTCATATAAGACTTCTATGTAAGAAATATTTTTCACTTTTAAGTAAGACTTATCCATGTATGAACAYGGATAATGCAGTTCTGTGATAAATGGCAAGGGCGCAGCAAACACAAAATGGGAAAGGTTATAAAAACTCTGTATATTTAGATATTTTGATGTTGATATTCTCAGTATTTTTGCTAATATGTGAAAATTTTAGTATTCATTAAGAAACTTTTTAATACCTGAGAATAAAAGTGCTGGGAAATCAATGTTCACTGTGAAAGCATATCAGTACCCTAATGAGGAACAGTAAAATAAAATTGTTAAAAAGTTTCATCTGTATCATTGTGGCAAATAATGCGTGATAAGATTCTTATTCTGATTGATCTCATTTGATAAAAATGTCTGCCAGATTACTGAAGGAATGGCATCATATTATTGGATGACATTTAAGAATGTGGCATCTGTGTGGAGTGTAGGAACTTTGTACAGACAAAAGTACAAGAGGTAAAATCCTCTTGTACTTTCTCTTTTGAATAGTGCGCTCCTTCAGTTACTGAGTCTCTAAAGAATTTAAGTAGGTAAATAAATGTTTACAAAAAAACATTTTCAAATGTGTTTTTTCCCTCTCCAGAATTACTTTGAGGATTTTTGGTTAAAACAGGTGCATAATACAGGATTTGTATCATATCGTAATGTATTGGTTGTGAGTTGTTGCACAGAATACATAAAAATGAATTTGTGGGTTTCAAAAAGTTGGCATATCTTTCCCACCTGTAAATCCTGCAGGATGTCCGTTAGCAATTTTGGAAGCTGCAGTACCATGTAATAAAGCTTATTTATGTTTGTAATAGTAGAATTTTAATGACTTCTTGTAGGAAATCTCTTGCATACTGTGATTTCTCTTTTTATTATTTTCTCCTCTCGTTCAAATATTGCATCAGGAGGGGGAAAATTAGTTGCCAAAAACCCCTTAAAAATAGCCATAAGAGAAATAGTCTCAATTATGCTCTTCCCCTTAAGAATACATGATCACAAATGAAGTTAATGTGGCAGTAATAYGCCGAAGTTCAGTGCATATGTTTGTATTTTGAGGACGAATGCTTTGTTTAAAAATTTTTCATASAGAAAAAGTATAATTTTGACTCAAATCTTTGAATATGCTACTGTAGGGTGTCTACATTGTCATAGAATGCTCACTAAATCCTGGCAGCTTGTAGAATAGCAATGCATAACTATGGATGGTCATAATGCTTTCCGTCTACTCTTCCAAAGACAGCACAGAGAAGAATTTTTTTTCACCTTTTAGTTTTGGTTTTGTTGTTTGAGGGTTTTATGGTTTTGGTTTTTTTTTTTCATCTTTATGTTCACTGTCAACTTTCTCTCTGTTCTTATTTGTCTTTGTCACATGTAGAAGTGATTTCAGAACTGCATCAACAGCTAAGAGAGTCCCTAGCTAGCAGACTCCAGCTGCACTTCACAAATTGCTAAGAGTAGTTATTTAAAGGTTCTCCTTGAACCTTGCTGAAACCATATACTTGTCTCTAGAATGCTTTTCCCATGGCTGCTGTAACTTTTGTTTGTTGCACAATATGTAAAACAGACAATATCTTCTGTAAATGTGCAGAAGACTTTCATGTTTATATTTAATTTTGCATGTGGGCAGAAGAAACATTAAAATACCAGCTCTTTATATGACATTATTCTCTGTTGTGGGTGTTTCTGTTGGACTGCATTTGATAATTCCAAATAGAATGTGATCCTGTTGTACGTAGCCTTGAATGTTCTGAATGACATTCAGGTGAGCAGGAGTGAAAAAGGTGCTTTATGAAGCATGCTGAATAGGAAAATTTCAGATTCGGTATTACCTCCTTGCCTTTTCTTACTGTGTGTGCAGTCTCTGCTCTCGGTCTCACTTCAGACTCATACAGTGCTTTTAAACTTTCCAGTATTGCTATGTTGGTAAATGAAAAGTGGAGATTTGAAAGCTGCTCTTATGAGGAAATCTTGGGAGCCAACCCATGAAAACATGAAAGTGTTTTTCAGACCAGTAGGTGGTGCTGATTCCTTTTTAATTTTTATTCAAGCACCAAAAAAAAATTACAGACCAGGATCTTGCAGTCAGGGTAGTATGTTCTGGGCATGTTTGAAATTTTTCAGAATAATTAAAGGTTTGTATATTTATTTCTTAATGCACTGTTTTGAAGTTGCATTATGGGACATAATGATAAGGATGATAACACTTCAATGTCAGACAATTATATTCTTTTCACTAGGTGCTTTCCATTTTTAAACTAAAAATATTTGAAAGTCTGTATTGGGGAGTTTTTAAAATGTACTAGTTTTGGTACTTATTTTTTTAATTCCATTTTCTGCTTATAATTTGTATTCATTTTTAAGTCCTCTTCTATATTCTCAATACCGTATGATGCAAAGTGACCTCTGGTTTCACAATGTAGTTTGTTTTCAGAGGACAGTTACAAAGAGATTCATTTTTGTAAAGCTCATCCAAAGTGAAGTTCGGGAACTTGTGAAATTTTAGGTGAAATAAAGATGAGACAAAATGTTCCCTGAAATAATCCTCAATTATTTAAGAATACATGAAAGAGAAGTAAAATCAAAAAGTCCTTATTTTAGATATGTTTTGTAAAAGGTATCCCTTCAGTGCAGTTTTTTACTGCAGAGACAGAGAAAAACTCCTTGGTCCTGTAGGAAATTATATGCAACAGTGCCATTGTGCATTTAAGACCATGGGAAGACAATGTGATTTTTGCTGTTGTGAGAGGATGATTTGGTAACCTTCTGTGAAAGAAACAGATGCTGATGAGAACCTTTACCTTTGCACATTTTTTTGTGTGTAGAGATCGCATACTCTTTGAAGTAGATGGCAAGAGTAAATTTGTTGAGAACGTAATGTCTGTAGCAGTATAGCTTTATTCTTATAGGCACTAAATTTTCTTTATAAATTTCTTCATTAAAAATATTTTTTTTTGTAATTCCTTAAACAAGACTAATGTAAATAATAGAGGTGCTACTGGCCTAAGTTTTAACACAATTTTTTCTAACCTTGCTGATACATTAGCGAAAAAACTTCAAAAAATGAAATAATAAAGACTAACTTTTAAACATAGTGTTCTCACTCTGATGGATGATTTTGTGATGGCTGTTGGCATTTCACAAAATTCAGGACAGTTGTAAAGTGATTAAAGCATAGTAAGTACAGTTCATCACTAAAAGAATGTTCTCTTCCAACAGAAGTACCAAAGAGATTATGAACTGTTATTATTGCTTGATTAACAGGATCAGAAATTTGTGAACCATATGTGCTGTGTATGTGATAGGGTCAAAATACAGTAATTCTTTTTAAACCTTATACAGAACTAATATTATTTGTTATTGCAGATAATGTACAGAAAGTTCAGAGTTTTCTTAGTACTTGAAAGAGAAGAGGTTTTTATTTAATTGTGTCTAAAATCTTGAATTTTCAGGTGGTCTTGAGTCACTGAAAAATCTTCAGCAATTAATTGTGGACCATAATCAATTAATCAGCACAAAAGGTCTTTGTGAGGCACCTACTCTTATTCACCTAGACTGCTCTTTCAATCATCTCACAGAAGTTGAAGGCATTGAGAATTGTGGCCTACTTCAGGTTCTGAAGTTGCAAGGCAATAATCTCCAGGAGGTAAAAGCTTTGAATTTAGTGGCTGTTGTGCATGCATCTTTGCTATCAGTCATATTTTTCAGCATTCTGAGCATGCACTCTTTGGTGTGGGATGTTTCATGCTATTATGTAAGATTTTTTTTTTTGCCCTTATCAGAGAGAGATTTTTAAAAGATACAAATAGCTAGCAGTTAATTATTTTCTTACTCCTAAGTGCTTGACAAATTGGACTCAGGATTATGGTTCCTCCTTCTAGTCTTCAGTCTTCAGTCCATACTATATTATTCTGATTTTTTTTTAATATATAACAAAATATTGTTATTACTTGTAGTGATGTYATAATAGTAAATTAATTATATCAGGCTGGTAAAAATGATATAATTGTCATTACATGTAAGTAATTATTTATTACTGTTCCTTGTATGTAATGATAATATCACTATCATCCAGATGATAATCATGCTTATTTGATGAATGTTGATTCTCCAAAACTTGAAATTTGTGCTGCAGCATTTCAAATAGGAAAGTTGTTTGCTAACTGTATGCTTAATCATATTTACTGACAATTATTCTCCTATGGATTCAAGAGATGAAAAGCATTGTCAATAAGTGGCAAATAACTGCATGAATAAAATAGTAAGACTGTGACTCTTGAGCTCGTTACTTTTTTTTCCCCTAAGTATTTATGTTGACTATTTGGATTTGGTAGAAGACATTAAAAAGTATTTACCACCTGATATGTAGAGATTATGGGTGACAACTGGTACATACATAATAAGAAAGTGATACATATATCCAAATGTGAGTTTTGCTTGTATTCAGTAATGATTTATGGAAAGCATCTGGTAAGCATTCCATTGTTTTTTCTCTAATTTATATTAATCTTAAATACCCGTCTCTTTTCTATTTAGCTTCCAAGACTGGAAAATCATGTTCTCCTAAGAGAACTATATTTGGATGACAATAGCATTTCTACTATGAAAATGCTTTCTTTTTATTGGTTGCCTTTATTGCAAATTCTTTTGCTGTCTCAAAATAGGTAAGTAAGAAACATTCTTCCACTTACAGAACTGATAGAGAGGAATTTACTAGCATAACACTTATATGAAAAGTATAATTCTCAGTATGGTTGAAATTTCACTATCTTTTTGGGATATTCTTTAAAAGTAAAAATAAGTGGTTAGCTTGTAATTACATTGGCTACCTCTAACTAAGAAAATTTGAAACAGCATTAACTATGTAAATTAATTTTTTTCTTTTAGATGTTATGTAAAAACAATTCTTGAGCATTATGGCATTATTAAAACCATCGTGGGTTTTTTTCTTTCTTTAGCAATTGTTTCTAGAGTATGTCTGTCAAACTTCATTTTTCACAGGCAGCTTATTTGAAACAGACTTTGAAGGCTAAGTTAAGTGCAAGTAGAGTTAGAAAGGGCAAATAAGAATGTTTTTTATTTTACATGCATTTGTTAATACCCTCCAAAACAAGTATACTTGCTTTAATTTTTCACTCTTATGGTTCTGTTTAAAAGGTATAAAATAAAGGATCAAGAAAAGCAGCGTTAAACTGGGTCATACATTCAAGTATTCAGAAATTAGTTTGTTCCTAAATTAATCTATACATCTTTAGAGGTATGATGACCAGATATCCTGGATTAAACATCTTTATTTTCCCCACCCTCCTTTTTCTCAATTTAAATTCTGCTTAAAGAAGATATGAAACATTTATTAAAATTTGCAATATGTTAGTAGGAAAATTAATTTTAAAMTAATATCAATTATTTTTTCTATACTGTAATCATTTTGTTCTGAAAAAGACTGATCTCAACTAAACCGACAAAGACTACATACCATATATAGAAATACACTCCGAACTAATTACTTTACTCTTCTATTAGTGAAGAGATGTTTTTAAAGGGTGATTCATCTGCCATTTTTAGTTGTTTGCTTTGAGACTAATCATAGCCTACAAGTGCCTGTTAATCTTCATTGACTAGAAAAAAATCAAATTACCATCTCATGTGTGTGTCTATATCTGAACTGAAGAATCCCATCCTATGTGACACTTAGTTCAGCAGAGCCAATTGTGTCTGGAAGTTTGTGGGAAAAAAGGTTATTCAAGACTGAGTCCTGTTATTATAAGCACTGGCCTTCATGGAAAATTAATATTATTTAAGTACACACAACTTATATTTTTATACCACTTTTCAGATTGTTTTCATATCATCTCTAGTGAAGTACTATTCATAAAGACTCTTGTAATATGTAAATATAATACCTGCTGAATCTAATCTTCAAGTTCAGGACTTCTAGGATTTGGGATTTTTCATTCTCTTATTAATTCTTCTGGAGTTTGGAGAAATTGCTTCCTGCCTGTGAATAAACAAGCACATTATTTGTTAAATGTTAGATTTTGAGTCACACTGCTTGATTTAATTTGTGTTCTTTGCTATTTTTTTCTTGTCCCATTTAGCATTTTTTGTGGAACACACAATAATGTGGCTTTATATTTTTGTAGTTTCCTCCTCTTCCTCCAGTGTGGCTATCTGGTGTGTAGTAAAGTGTTTGCATAACTCCATGAAGATCTCATGTGCCAGCTAGGGACTTAAGAGCCCAGTCTCAGGCATACCTTGAATGCAGCTTCTTGATTTAGGTTGTGCTGGACTCACCATGTAGATGTGCATTAAGTTACTTGCCTATCCCGTCATCTTACAGCTTATAATGTCCATTTTAGTGCTTGCTCTGGTTTTCCAGTAGTCAAGCTGAGATGCAATGTTTGGTGTACTGAGTTTCTTTTTCTGGGCTGTGAGAAAGCACATATTTTTGCAACAACATACTGGATGTGCTGAAAATAAACATACATCTTCCCCCCCAAACAATTCCCYTTCTTTCCTTGATGTATTTATAGCTTTGTCAAATCTTTGTGACAAACAGGACAAGATAGCCCTAAATTCTTATTAAAAGCCTCAAAATTCCTGGCATTTCTGTAGCCTACTCTGTTACACTCACTTTATGTACACTTATAAACAGCTCCATATGTGTGTGCTATAGCATAAGTAACTCGATGTTCTATAGAAATAGTGAATGTAATGGAGTAAGCTGTTGAAAGAAAAGCTGTTTCTTTACTTTTATCCTACAGCCAGAGATATTTTGTGAGTTTTTTCCAAGTGTGCACTGAGTGCCATTTCCTTTTTACTGCTTACAGGAAGCCAATATAGTGATTATGCTATGAATCTGTATTCTTTCTGAAAGTGAAACACTGAAAATTCTTGCACTAATTTATAGGACATATTTATTCCTGAGATGCTTTGTCTGCATCATAAACTAGAAATTGTCAAAGATAAAACTCCAAAAATTAWTTTTTTGAAATTATTTTAAATCTGCAGTCTAATGGAATTAAAACAGGTAGTGATTAATTCCTTCAAATATAAAAATGACAGCTATTTCACCACTGCCGCTTTTATTAAGTGGTTTATTGTGGCTTTCACATACAAAGCATATTCTTGGTCAATGTGCAGTTGACCAAAGATAGCAATGAATATCCTCTTAGGTACTGTAGAATTTGGACTACGAGGATCCTTGCTCTATTTTGTAGCACCTGAGGATACAGCTGTTAAGTTAGTTTAAAAAAGGGACATTTTATTTTTTCTTCTGTTGTGGATAAATATTTATGTGTAGGAGGGAAAAACCTTCTTCCTCTGTAAAATTAATAATTTTTAAATGTATGTTAAAGAGTTCATGTGGCATTTATATTTACATGTAATCCCATTTAATTATGTAACTTGTTGATGTCTTCTTAGTTTAAAAGTTTTACAGTGAGACACTAAATCAATGTGCTCTTCAGAGAGACAATCTTTCTCAACCTCAAAATGGATAAAATGCCTCCTAACATTTCTTTTTTAATGAGAAATATGACTTTTTTTTTTTTTTTGCTATCTCTTGCTTTTCACTAAGATAACCTAAGTGAGATAGATAAAAATTTAATATTTAAAAAAAATCAGTCATCTGCAAAAGCTCCTTTTTCTTTTGGGAAACTCCTTTGGCCGGAATCAAGTATGTTGTCAACATGTTGCTGTCACGTTTTTGCATATAGGTGCATGCTATTCCTAAAATGCTTATATTAGAAATGCTAAAAAGTTAGTTCAGTTCTTTCCTAGCATACATTATTCTCTCTATTTAAATATGTGTCGTATCTGTGTTTGTAATTGAATTTCTCAGATATGAGTGTTGAGCTCATTGCAAGCCATGATATTTTGAATTTGACCATTTTTGCTGAATTATCATGATAAATATAAATGTCACTGGATGTTGAAATAAGTCAGTCATGAAAAAAGCTATATCTATGTATAATGGTTTTCATCATCCTATCCTTACCATTCTAGATTTTTCTAAATAATTTTCAGAAATTTTTTGCTGGTGATAAATTTATCTCTAAGTATGTGGCATCGTGGGTAATGTACTTGAAGTACTGCCTACTAGAGTATTCAAGAAACAAAAGTGTCTAACTGATGGTTTTCCTATAATCTCTGTGTTTGTTCCTTATAAATGTAGTGATTGCAAACTAAACTGTCTTTAATTTAAGGAATGAAAAAGAAATGTGGGCTTTACACAAAGATCTAGATTAAGATAAAGTTATTTTAGTTATTTTGCCCTCCTTCCTGCTAACTGGTCTTTACTATCAGTGATAATTATTCTGGGGAACAGCAGTTGCATGGCAGGATTTAGACCATCTTGAGCAGTAACTGCTATTCATGTTCAGAAACACGATCTTTATTTTCTCTGATGAATACTTGCAACTGTTCTTGAATCTTGTTTTCTGACATAGCCTCATAAACTACATAAACTCTGTCTTGAACATGTTCTGCTAAAGCCTTAAACAGGAGCAGAAAAAGGAAGCTATAACTTGTTTTTTTGTGAATATCTTTTACTTTTGTGTCTTCTTTGTAATTTATATCTCTCTTATGCCCAGGGCTAATGTGACAAGGTCAAGTAGTATTAAGTTTTCAGTAATGTCCTTTGTCTTTCTGGTTTGAATTTTCTTAGAAAAAARTTTGCAAAGAATGTTGGTAAAGGGAAAGCTATAGAATGACGGAGAAATGTTTTAACTCTCATAATGCCAACAGCAGGCAAGGACAGTCCAGTAGACAATTTCTAATTKACCACAGCATATGCTGATAAAGATCCAGAGAACTCACTGTAAATAAAAATCCTGCAAAATATCACATTTGTTTTCCTAAGATATTTCTGAATGTATGAATCAACAGTCCAAGCCATGGATTTTCAGTTTTTTCAGCCATACTGTTAGCCAGTAATATCTATGATGGCATTTGCTACGAATATTAAATATATTTATGTACTACTGATGATGAGAAATTATAATGTTGAAATTGTAGTACTATGTACAGATCTACATAAAAAGCTTAATGCTTTTTTGAGTCAATACTTATTGACTTATTCATATTTATTTGATTCCATGGAAAACTTCCATGGCAGAAAGTTAATAGAACTAAGTAGGAGTAGAACTTGGGTAACTTTCCAATGTAGTTCAAAAAATAGTGAACATACACAGTTGACTTCATATCTGTTTCTCTGAATTTACTATTAAAATGTTACATTGTCATGTAGGAATACTTGTCACCTCTATGTTGAAATGATTTTTTTTTCGGTTTTGAATTTGGTCATATTTTCAATAAGGCTAAATAATCTAAAACTAACATTTAGTCCATAATTAGTGTACCAAACAAAGTAAAATTCAGCTCTGCCTCTCTGTTGTAAAACCTGTGCTGGAAACACAACATTTCAGCAACAAAGAAATTTATTTGCCTCTGAATTTTGAGTATGTTTCATTTTTTGTAGGGTCATGTTTCTCACAAAAAAAATTCTGATTAATACCTTTCAAAGGCATGTCCTCTTTATGAACTGCTATTTTATTTAATTAAAAAAATGTTTTCTGTTTTGTTTTTAGATTAACCGAGCTTGTGCCTTTAAATTCATTTGTGTCTTTGGAAAAGCTAGATGTCAAAAATAATTGTTTCTCAGGTGAGTTGTGTTAAAAAAAAAATAAGCAACATCCCATTCAGATAAGAACTTTTTACTTTAAGTTGTAAACTGATTTGAATGGGGCTTTCTCATGTTTTTATAAGAGATATTTATGCGGAAAATATACAGATATTTTCCAAACATGAATATTATAGATATTAATTAAAACTATATTGTATAGATAGTGGTATTGCTTGTAGGACTTCATGATGTAGGTACATTTTACTTTCATGTAAGAATTCATGAGAAATAAGACTATTCTGCATCCAGACTTATATTTAGCTTCCTTTCTACTATACTACAGACCTTACAGATGTCCTTACATGGTTAAGTGGCTGCCATAAACTGAAGGAGTTGTCATTGAGTGGAAATCCTCTTCTACAAGAAAAGAACTGGAGGTAAGAAAAGTGATTTAATTTGCTGAATCAAAAAATCAAAGTTTTTTTATTAAATTAGACAACCAATTGTTGTATGTATCTTAGTTAAATAGTAGAAACACTTCAGTGGTGTATATTACTGAAATAATGATTTGAAAAATAACACAGCTAGTCCTAGAAACTATGATATGTCTCTATATAATAAATTAGTAGGGTAGAAAAGAAAGTCGACATATGAAATTATGTACATTTACCATAATCCATTAATTGAGTAGTTATATAGGTTTGTAAACCATAGGAGTAAAATTGTACATGAATAGATTTTTTGTGTAATTTTTTTGCATATTAGATATCATACTTGAGGTGTGGCCTCACTAGTGGCAATTACAGGGGGATGATCACTGCCCTAGTCTTAGTGGTCACACTAAAACCCAACAAACCAAAATCACCCTTATATTTATATCTTCCATCTGAAGATCTTTGTACAAATTTATGATTAATAATGGAAAGAAAAAACCCAACTATTTCAAACTTTTAATTAGAAGTGTTTGATTAGTTTAAAAGATAACTGTGGATGTACATTCTTGATTGGTTTGTTTGATTTTTTAATTAAGAGACTTATTTGTACTCCCATCGTCCTGCAGATAATTTCATTTATGGAATTCTGTGACTGTGAAAATATTTTAGACTTCTATTTCCATTGTTTGAATTCTCACTTTTACGAAACTAACTGTTATTTCACTTGTAACCTGGAGGGAAAAGCTTTCTGAATTTCAGTTTAACTATGAGAGCTGACACTTTGGATTGCTTAAACCAATAGAGCTTTTATGATTAGACAGGAGATTCATTTGTCTAAAGGATTTAAATTATGGGATACTATGAAATATGGATTTGCTGAATACAGCATTGACTGTAACTTCAGACAATATGTTCCAATGAACTTTACATAACCCCTTGATACCAACAAAGGAATTAGTTGTAAAATTTCCCAATCGGTTTCGTACTTTCATGTCCGGCCAGTGATAACACCAACAAAAGTGAAGTAGTAAGAAATCTGTTTCTAAAAATTAAACCCTGGGATCAGTCTGAGCACTCCTAGGGGAATATGTTTCAATRCTGTAATGATTAATAGAGCCTCTTAAGTGACAGAATATGCACCAGGAAGTTTTCACTAAATGAAATATTGATTCAGCCCTTCACCAGGAGAAACCCAGATGGAAAAATGAGTGTTGAGATTCCACAGCTCTAAGACACACTTCCATCATTAAAAAAGTTTGATATGTCTCTGTTTTGATGTATTGCTATTCAACATCAACTTCGCTAATTTCTCTGTATGTGTTCAGGAACTGTTGGTCTAAACCCCTAATTGTATTCCAAATGTTCTTCAGACAGTCTTAGCCTTCATTAATGGGCAGTAGAGAAGGAAAGTTTTCTATCTGCAAAACCTGATTTTCTATTCTGTTATTTTGTATATTATAACAGAGTCAGAAACTTTCTTTGATTTTAAACTTAGTGTATGTTGTCTGAGCTGAGAAGTAGTTCTTTACCTTCATGGGGAGTAGTCAGAAAGTTCCAAAATTTTGAAAACAATCCTATCTTATTTAATGGTAAGGGGGTTTGCAGCCTACAGTTAGTATTCTTTCAAGAGTTCATAAGTATTACTTAAAACTGAGTTAAAGTACTAAATGTTGATGAAGTACTAAATAATTTTGCAATCTTCAAACTTTCAACTAATTTGGTCTGGTACAAGAAATATATCAAACAAGGTTTCAGTACCAGCTTACACCTCACAGTCACATAAGCCATACCACACTGATGATGCTTTTTTTTTGGTAGGCACATTTCTCATGCACATTTTTTCTTGCAGTGGCACCAGCTGTCCTTTTTATAGCAAGGAAATATCATCTTTACTCTCATTTATTTTACTGATGCAAATTCAGTATTTCAAAAGTAGATTTTTTTTTCCTGTCAGACATACTGAATAGCATGTCAGTAAAGGTCATATATGCAAATGGTAAATGGAGTAGGATTGGCAAGTTTAGTATTTTGTGCAGTTTTAAAATTTAATTTTTTGTGTCATCAAAGTCAGTTCTTAATCCTGTATCTTAATCCTATTACTTAGCTTGCTATGTTGCCTATTATAAAATACATTACAGGTGCCTGTGTGTAAGTATGTCAAATTTCCCTGTTAAGTTTGTGTAGGTAAAATTATAGCTCTAGTGCTTTGAGACTGTTGCCATTATGTTTCTTGTTTCACTGTTTCAGCAGTTCTGTTTATGCCAGTGAAGTATTAAGAAATCTTGCAATGTTCTGTGTTTAATTCTTATTTTTAGTTAATATGTTAGTATATGAAATAAAGGCAATTACATACAAATATTTAGAGAACTATCTTCCTGTTTTGTATTGTTATATGATTTTATCAATAAAATTGGTGGTTTATCATAAAGATCTTTTCAAAGAACTAATTATGATTTTTTTCCCCAAGGTCTTCCTTGCTGAAGGTCGTTCCTAGTTTACAGTTTCTTGATGGTGAAGTCTTAACCCATCATGCTTTACCCACAACTGAAAGAATCAAAGCATCAGAATTAGGAACTTTTCTGGAATTTTGTCAAGTTCAAATTGAAGAAAATATTCAGCTGAAAAAAAAGGCTGCTGATTTGGAGTATGTATTTATGTGAATATAATTTGCATTCAGAAATATTTTTTTATGTATTGTTACTGAAGTTCTTGTTGACTTATGAATTTTACTTAGGCTTTTTCACCTGGAAATGTGTTAGGATAAGAAAGAGATTAGAATCATTGACTTCTGTACAACGTCTATTTTAGACAGATGTTAAGTTATGAGGGCCTTGAGTTTTGTTTCTTTAAGTTTGAGAAAACAGATGGTTCCAAACCTGCAGTTAGTAGTAGCTAATGAATTCAGTAGCAGAATGAATTCATACACATAACCACAGTGCAGTGCTAAGCACTAATAGTAGCTTAAATCCTGAAAGCTGAATACTCATATTAACATGATTTCCAACTTTATCTAATCTAATTTGGTCAGTGGTGCAATATGTTCATTTTTTTTTCCTGCATTTTTTTGCATGTGTATATTATTCACTTTCAAATAATTGCAAAAAAGATTTGGTGTCTTTTCTCTTATGGTAGTGAAACAGATGGATCAGTGTTCAGGTCTTTAATTTTCTCATACTTGCTACCTTCCTCCCTATTACCATGGTTAGTTTTCCACTAACTTCAGCTTAGACCATGCAATTGTTAATTTATCACTTACGCATGCTATGTTTTAATTGTTTTGTAATATCTAAGTACCTCAAACTTATCATTTCTGCACTTGGTAGTATTGCATGTTTTTTTCTTCTGTAGTTCCTTTTCATTTCCTAACAGGCTCTCCATATCCTTCTAGTCCTTTGAATATCCAGCTTATGCTTTAATTTTTGGAAAGGTCGTTTTCTTGATTCTGGCAGGTACTGAACATTATCCCAGAGCAGGTGAAGCCTGTGGTGTTATACACTCTTTCAGTCTGAACTTTGCCTTGCATATTTTGTTGGTTAAGGAAAAGTACTCACTTGTTTTTTCGAATCTAGCTATTTTGTGTTTGCTTGTAAGCGTGTATATCCATGGTATTTTACTACCTAACAGTTTATTATTGCATTTGATATTTAATTATTTTTACTAAGGTGCAATAAAATCTTCATAGCTCACAACCAGATTAATTTGAAAAGAGGTTCATATTAGGACTTAGATTGAAAGTAGTTGGAAGAAATGCTATAGTGCGGTTTTCTATGACATGTAATGTGTAGGTGGCTCCTAGAAGTCATATGTTACTTCATTAAACTATCAAGATGTGTCTTCTCCACTTGTGTGATTTTTGGCTTCTGGTTTGCAGGTGGGAAGCTGATACTTCCTAATCTATTTACCATCCTGAAATGGTGTTGTTTCTTTCCTTTGTCATAAAAGAAAATAAAGCTCTCCTCTTTTATGATTGAGAAAATTTTTCTGTGTCTGATATTTAGAACTCATTTCATCATTATCCTTTTCCAGAAAAAATGCCAGCTTGTAATTAGGATGTGTAGTAGAATCTAAGGACCTAATTTCATATACATTCCTGCAGAATGGTAAAAAAATGAGAGGGAAAGATGATATTCCTAAAATTTAACAGGTTTTTTGTTTCTACATGAATGGACATATGAAAGATAAATAAAAAACTTGTGGGGTAGTCAGGCTCAAACCATCTGTTAATTACTAATAGTTAGTGGCTCATGCTACTTTCTGGAAGCTGGCTTGAATTTATAACATCTTTTATCAAAGTTTGGGGGCAGGAGGTGGAGTGCACACTTAGCATGCTAGCTGATCACAAATATTCAAAGGCAATTGTTTATATGCCTGAGGGAAGGGCTTCCAGTCAGACATAGGCAAGATGGGAGGTCAGCAGTAATCTTGTAAATTCAACAAAGGCATGTGCAAAGTTCTTTACCTAGGAAGATGGATAGAAAGGAGGTCTTCTGCCTACTCCCAGGCTATTTGCTGAGGGAGAGAAGGCCTTTCACTCTGTCCAAGCACTATTCAGCAAAACATTAATGCTTCATCAATACAGTTTCAGTCACAAATCTAAACCACAGCACTATATGGGGAACTGTAATGAGAATGAATTAATTCCACCCAGAGATGGTACAACTGCACATAAGGAAAATCCTTTTCAGGGTGGGACAGTGATGAATTGCAATAGGCTGCCCAGAGTAGTTGAGCAGTCATGTTTTTGGAGGTTTTCAAGACCTGAGTAGATAAAATCCTGAGCAGCCTGGTCTGATCTGAGAGTTAACCCAGCTCTGAAGCAGAAGGTTGGACTACAGACCTCTTGAGCTCACTTCAATTGAGAATTTTTCTATGATTCTCTGTACATTTTATTTGAAAGAGCCTGAAGTTGTTTGCAAAAAGCRGTAGTGGGAAGAGGTGATTATGTAAACATCTCCTCTTTCCTGAATGTATGGTTTGAGTGGAGGGAGGGCAGGGAGTGCAGAGGAAGGAGGGTTGTGGATTTTTAAGATTTTGAGAATTCAAAATCTTTAAATTGGTAACTTCAACATGATTGAAGTATCTTGTATAAAATTTAGTCTTAGCATTAATTTCTTGTGTGTTCAAGTCATCTATCTTTTATTTTGACTGAAGTAAAATCTGTGGGTGACTGGAAAACTGTTGAAAACTGCAGTTCGTAAAAGTAAGCCTAAACAACTTGTTTGTGTATAAGCCTTTGTGGCATAGCTATTATATTTACATATTGCAATACTTCAACTGAATTAATGTGACATTGCTAAAGAACAGGCCAACAATAGACCAAACTTCTATCTGTTTCACATCTTGCTAACTTATGAGYCCCTGTAGGTGCGACCTCAAGTATGTAAGCTGCCAAAAGTAATCACTGCTTGCTTCCCTAATCTGTTTCATACACCACTGCTGCCCAGTTAAATTCTCCGTGCTGTTTCTTCCCAAAGCTTCTCTGTTGTTGCCATTTAAAATTGAATTTCTCTATTCTAATAGATGTTTTCTGTCACATAATCTTTAGATGACTTCTAATGAGTAATCATGTAAAAAAAACGACATGATACTGGGCTGCAGCCATTTGTTTTCAGCCATCTGATGTGCAGTTGTCTGGCTAATGGAACTTGAATTTTATAAATACTGTATGCATATTACAGTGAAAATGACTGGAATTTCATAAATGGTATTGCAAGGAGAGACTATGTCAACAGTGACCTGTTTCATGTATTTGTAAGGGACTTTGGTAGGGTGCAGTTTAGCATCAGTAATGATGCTTTCAGAAGTWTCCCTGAAGTCATTAGATTTTACCCCACACTATTGTAAACAAAAGCAATAAATTCAAATAGTACACCTCATAGACTGAGGTGCTACCTATTTGAGTATTCCATGTATTATAATTATTAAAATCACAGTAGAGCCACAAAGGGAAAAACATGATATTAAGCAAGGTTTTAACTGGCACACAAGCTAGCATATGAAGGGGTAGAATATTGGTCATGATATAGCTGCAAGGGCTGGGAGAAAACTGCCATTCCTGATCAAAACTGGCTTGTTTTTTCCAAATCTGTCCCTTTAGCCTCTGACAGATCTGTTCTGCTGACTTTTCCAGATTTACTGGCTCATTCTGACAAAATRACACTCTTTGAATAACCAGTAGCCATTGCAGGTGTGATTGCAGGAGAAAATTCTATACGAAATGTGTCAGCCTCTGCTGCCACTTTAAATTTCTTAAGTAGCAACATTTTTTATTTAAACTCCACTGGAAGGCCTTTAAACATGAATAATTTTCCTTTTCTATATATGTTGAGCCAGCCTGTGCATAGATCGTTACACTTCCTAAGTGCTGTCAGTGGGGTTTGCTCTTCTCCATTTCTACTCCTCCTTTGCCAAACACTGCATGGGAATTGAGCAGGGTTTGGCCTAAATGAACGAGGACAGCACTTCACACACTTTGCTTTGTAGATTGATGTGAGACCAGAAGTTGTAACAGTCATTAAAAAATGCCTGATTTAAATTTCCAAATAGATCTAAATCTCATTCTAATGTTCTTATCTTTCCTCAAAGTGCCTGGAGAATGCTAGCACATTAGATATGTATCTGGTAAAAAAAAAAAAAAAAAAAAAGGTACAGGTAGCTTTTTGCTCTTCATATTTTTTTCTGAAAAAAAATAACTTGTTCTTTAGTGTCGGGGCTGCTAGTCTAGCACATTTGTACACTACTGTAAGACTCATCCCATGTTCTTCTGGCTTATTACCCCTTTCTCCCAGTGCAAAAGCTGTGCATCCTGTGTGRTTAAGCTAAAATTTGCATATGGCATAAATCACTTTCACTTGTTATGATCAAAATGAAGCCATGGGTAGCCAGGCAGTGACTGATGATGAAGGAATGTGCTGGTCAAAGCTGGAAGCTGTAAAAATTTTCTACAGCGAGGCCACCATATTCGTCTACATTTCATTACATACTAAGCAGCCAGACACCATGGGTGCTCTTGCTTCTATAGGATAATTTAATTTCTTGTTTTGTCTAGATGCCAATACTTAAAACCTTGCTCATATCATAACCAAGAAATAATTCCAGATTTAATGTTACCAGACCCCGTGACCAGTAATACTGTAAAAGGTCTGAAAGGAAAACAATTATTTTACATTAACTGAAAAGGAAATATAGTGGTATCAAAATTCTTAATATTGTCATATTTCTTTGTCTTCTCTCTTTTCATGTATTTTTTTTTTTAACCATTAAAAAAATAAACCAGTCCTGCATATTTTCCACTACAGTAGCTTTCTTTGTGTGATTTGAATAAGCCATCTTCAGGAGCATGTCCCTGGTATAAGAATACAGTGGTATTGAGACACTGAGAAGTTTGCAGTGCATTGATAGGATGCCTGATATCCCTGTTCACTTAGGGGAAGGAGAACCTCAAACATAGTTACCGTGCCACTTCATCACACATAAGTCTCTGAGATATCACGTCAGCTTCCTTTTTTGGTTTCTTTCAATTTAAGCCAATCCGACTGCCTAAACTGAAAAACTACTGACACACAGGGCAGCCTAAAAATGCTGCAAAATCAAAGCATAGTTGTGGATTGCCAGGGAATGTATGGGAGAGGGTGCATGCCCACAATGACAAGATGGTATTTGGCAGCTGCTGCTTGGGAAAACTGCCCCAAAAACAGCCTCTATGAAAAAACTAACACATGACCCCTGGTGAGCACAAAATTATTCCCTACCTGAATTTTCACTTCCCATCAACTTCCCCTCCCATTTCTGCTTGACATATTCATAGCCACTGGAAGGATGAAACAGCTGCTTGAGAAACCCCTGCACCTATTGAAGGAGAGGATTCACCATTACGGTGGTTTGTTTTCCTTTTTTTTTTTTTTTTTGACAATCAACAAGGATAGTCAGGATATGCTTTTCATGCAAAAGTTTATCTTTTCCAATACATAAAATATTCTGGGGGGTTCTGCAATATTTGAATTTTCATAAACAAACCAACAAAATAAGGCAAAGGAAAAAAAAAAGGTGGCAATGGATTTTTTATTTGGGTTACTTTTTTTTGTCTTCTCACCGTATTATTTTTTCTAGAAATTTAGTAATGATCTGGTACCAGATTTATGTTTTTTTAAAATACTTGAACTAATTCAATGTACTTAACTAAAATATTCAACTAATGCTTTAAGTATTTTCTGTGAAAGAAATTGCTATTCTTACTATGTAGTATGTTGGATCCTTAAACAAATATATAGATTGCTTTAAATATTTTTAGGATTTGTCATATATGTGGAATTAACAGGAGTAGTGTTGTGTGGTGGACAATCAGATGTGCAGCTATTGCACAATGAATTTTGTGATCAAGCTGTGTGGGTCAATTTAGTGATTCAGATTTTTTCCAGTAGCACTGAAGTTGCACTAACAGAGGAAGAGTAGGAATCTTTTTTACTCTTGTAAGATCTGATTGATTATGTTTTTAAAAATCTAAAATGTTCTTAGTGGAACTTCACTAGAGGTTGTAATTATAATGACAAAGAATCCCTAGTAAAACCTTGTAAAATCTTCACCTTTTGAGAATGATGGACAGGAGGGAAAGCTCTGTTATTCTAGCTTTAATATTAGGACCTAATTTTTCCAGACTAACAAGAAAATTGATCTTATTTCTACTTTTTCTCTTGGATTGCTGACCTAGAATTGACTTTGTACTCCTCTGAAATTAGCACCAGATTACAGATCTCTGCATCTTTCTGTACTATTAAAGGAAAATGTTTTCAGGATTCCAGAAGTACCTGCTACCTAGTAAAATGGACAAACACCACCCAAAGTACAGACGGCCATCTGAATTTGTAACAATTAGTYCATATTTACCCTTATTTATCCTCATCATTTACACAGTGTAACACGAAGAGCTAATGAGAGCCAGACTTCTTAGATTAGTGTTGTTCAGTCTAGCACTTTCCCTTATTTTTATTGATAAAAACATCTGTACTTAAAAGTTTATTTTCCTGTTTTTTTTAAGACATTGTGGTTTGTTAGTTTGTATCTAAGTTTGGGTTTTGTTGCTTTAGTTCTTATCTAAATTTTAAAATTACTTTTATTTTCATATTAGTTTTCATAGTTCCCACATAAAATTGGATTATTATGACAATATTGTTTCAAATCCACTAAAAATTTTGGCCTCACAAGCCACTAATTACACAGAAAATTAATAATGAAATGCATGTCCCAATGTCTGTTCAAAAAGGCTGAAAATTTCTTTTTTTTTTTTAGAAAGAGTCAGAGTAAAAAGATCTGTAGRGTATATTTTAAATATGTCCAAAAAAAGACAAATTCTGTTAAGATTTATAAGTATTGAAACTGGATTTCCAATCAGAGTAATTGCTATTTGCTGTAAGAATATGGAAACATGCAAGAATTCTTGAAAGTATAAGCTATTTAAAAAAAAAA